TGCACGAACAATCTGCTGTGGAATGGCTAAAGTGGACAAGTTTGGGAAGTATGCCTTAGCTACCAATAAGGAATGGAGAAGTCATCATCTGTCCTTTCGGTGTCCTCTCACCCAAGTTCCTCAAAGAGGAGTAGGCAATCTTGCCAACCAACTCAAAGCCAGGCAAAGGCAAGCAGTAGCAAGCCGAAAGAGAAGGAAGAATTTATCAAGAATGGGAGCTGCAAAAGCCAAAGAGATCAGTAGAGAGATTAGTAGAGACTACTCATTCACATCCCCACTCGATCAGGATTATAAGCCTGGCACACCTACCTATTTTACTGAGCCCTACTTTGCCAATTTGAAAAAGGAATCAGGCATTTGGCAAGTCATTATCTTTATAGGTTGTAAAGAAAGTACCTTAAAGGCAATCCAGTAGCATTAAAGTATACACTGGTATACTAAAAGTGGCATGCTAATTGCTAGCACCAGTGACAGGAGGACCCCTTGGCTCTGATGTTTCTTCATTCATAGAGCCAAAATGTGTGCTTGTATACTAAACTTACTTTCCTAAAACACTAAAACAAACCACTGTCTCCCAGTAAAGAAACTACACGATATGAATTTCTGTACCCTTCTGTCCAGTGCAACTACATTTTAAAAATACGTATCTTATTCAACGGTGTTATGTGCTTTAAGGAGAACTTTGCTATTTGATACTCAAAAGAAATATCACCTTCACAGGTCAAGCACCTTTATTGAGTTACTACTTTTAATATTTATTTAAATGGAATATTACAAAGCTCTACACACAACTAGTTGGCATCAAACCTAGCAATACCTTCATAAAAGCTTGAGAATGCAGTTCTCTATGTCATTCACCCTCAGAAAACTGCCATGAAGTAGCTCATTCCAAGCTTCTGTGTCTAGCTTAAATTAAATGCCGAAGACTGTAAGACAATCCTTTCTTCAGGCAAAGAGAGACAGAAGAAAAGTACAGTTTCTAATACTAATATTTAATTTAACTAGCAATTTTTAATATACCAGTGATTTCCATGCATATTTTAGAGGTCTGCAAGTGCTACATACTTTCAAGGAATATATGCCAACTCCTACATGCGTCTTTCAACAAATATGAATGAAATTTACTAAGCACACAACTATGATTGTGATCCTCAGCTTAGTTTAACCAGCAGTAGTACTGAAAGTGCAAACACAATATAAAAGTTACCAAGGAGAACCTAAGCTATTTAAAACTGAATAAGACTCTGTTTACAGCATGATACAGAGCAAACAAGATACTTTAGTCAGCAAGAATTAGCTTATCAAGCTCAGGTTAGAAAGTAAAACCTTACTGAAGCTAACCAAAACCCACAGGCACTTTATTTAGACAACCAAGCACAAGTCCATTGGTTTATATTCATAATAAAGCATGTATGTATTTTAGCACATATTTTAATACTACTGTTACTGATGAACAATAAAGACTAATGACTACCTTTCCCCCATGCCCTGATGTTGTAACACAGTAGACATATGCAAAGAGTTGCGAACATCAGATTTGCATAAAACAGTACTGGAACAAAATACGCAACAATGCTTGCCCAAAACACTGTCATCCTCCAACCATAACTTACAGGCTTCCAGAAACATAGGTTGTTTTCTTTGTTTTAGTCTGCTAGAAGTTTGTTCAAATGGTTTTTTGAACCCACCTATAAACTTACACATCCCAGCACTGCAAAGAGTTCCGCAGCTTACTTTATCCTCTTAATCTTCATGTGGGGAAAAAACAAAAATAAACTACTTCAAATGTTTCACCTTCCAGTTTTACTATTAGGAGAAAATGGGAACAATTGGTCATTACCCAACTTCTGTACCACTTCTGAAGTATCCTTTAGAGACTTCCATCTTACACTTATCTCTTCAACACCCACCCACATAATCTATTTCAGACCAAGAGTTCTGATCTACTCAGGGATGCTGCATACCAAAACTGTTTTATAATTTTGATAAATATAAAATTACGAAAAGGGATGATGAGAAGAGTACAATATGCATAGTGGAAGCACACAATGGATTTTTACACTGGAAGCATTGTTTTTCTGCTATGAATTAAGAAACAGTAAACAAAGATTAGATTTGTCTTTTTGACTGTATAACTGAGCATGAATCTTTTAAAATATTCAAAAAATGACCTCAAGTTCTACTACTACACAGGAATAACAGGTTCAGTTCAGAACATATGATTTTGTATGCAACACTATGACTGTCCTGTCTTCATTCTTTCTTGGTATTTCTACCTGCATATTTATTTTATGCAAATTAAGGTAGATGGTAATAAGTTTGTCGCTAATAATTTTGTCCAACTGATCTAGAAATTCACCTCTGGGTTACAGTTTGAGAGCCTACTGACCTTCTCCAGCTTGCTGCAAAACTCACTGCAATCAAACTCCCTCCTCTTAGTGGTTTATTAACTGTAAGGTATGTAGGCACATGATCTAAGATCATTGAAACCAGCCTTTCAGATGTATGGCCCAATTTCCATAAGAAACCCAGAATGATTTACTGGGTCACTGCATCCATGACATCCACCAATGTCCCACTTTAATCTACTCTTCTTTGACCACACCCTAATTTACTTTTTGTTTACAGCTTCCTGTGCATGGAAAAGCCTCAGCTGAGAGAAGAAGCACCACAGGTGAGCTCACACTGAACTCATCACTTCAAGGCAAGCTTTGACCAAAAAGGAGAGCCCTCTTACATCATTTTCTAGGGAGTAATAGGGACAACAGAAAAAAGGAACAAAATAGTAGCTGGGAATACAAACCTAACAGTTCATCAGTTAAGAGATGACAGACAAATCTTGCTTCCAATGTGGAAGTCTGAGATTTCAAAGCACTAGTTGCACAGGGAGGAACAAAAACTAAACGATCACTATGCCATTTTTCCTCCATGTTATTGTCATACAAGAAAAATCTGTTTCCTTGTTTGATGATAAGCTAACTCTGTTTTTCATCATCCCCAAAAACCAAAGTTATTCCAGGACCATTTTAGTCATTACACTCAACTCAAATTTTCTCCTTTTCCCTCTCGACATTTGAGAAGCATTTGTAGACTCATGCAGAAGTTCAACTGAAGACTCATAGCTATGCCCAAGTTGAATTTTGACCCCACAGTTTCATGCTGAGAGCCACGCAATTCTGTTTCACAAAGCACCTGAGGATGTGCAATTTTGTTTAAAGACTCATTCCATTTGAAACTTAGACAAGTATCTTTTCACATAGTAGTAGAATAATGAAAGTCAACTCACTAAAAGTGGTGTTTAAGTAAAAAAAAAGTCAAAACATTTTACCCCCACCACAATGTAATATACAGATTTTGTTGTATTTCCCCCCCCCCCTTTTTTTTTGTTATAAGTTACCATTTCATCTTCTTTTTAAAGAGTTCATTTCTGGCAATTACTTCTGCTAACTCACCACACTAAAATTTGCAAAGCTGACAAGATACCAAGACAATGTCACCTTGGGGTAGGTAGCATCTCTATTTCAATTATTAAGGTTGTTCTACTACAAGTCAGATCTTTGACCAGCCAGTAACATTTAGAAGTCTGACAGACATGCTGTTTAGAAATTCCTTGTTTTCTACATTTCATTAAAATCCTCCTTTGTTTACTCTGCCTTTGTCCAAACTGAAGTTGACAGTCATATAGAAAGTGACCATTACAAGTCTTCAGAAGTACATCACTTATTTCCTGGAACAGAGATAAAAGTTATACCTTACTAGTGGATGATCTGACTCTACAGGGCTACTCACAGGCAAGCAAAATCCATCCAAAAAATCAGTGTCTAGAATAGCTTAGAATAAGTAAATAAAAGTCTTCTAAGCACAATTATGGGCATCAGTAGTACAAAAAAAGCTGCACATGAAGCACACTCCCCTACTTTAATCTCTCAAAGAACAAACTCCAATTTGCCTATTTACTACCTGCGTGATTTTAGTCTATTTACTACCTGCCCATTTTAGAATTATCTGCTATATTGCCTATCTATCACCATGTACTTGCCCCTCTACTACCAACAGCCACTCAAAATACAAACTGCTCCTCGCACCTTTGAACAGCTGCTGTGCATTACTTGGAGCTGGACCTGGTCCCCCACCAAATCAATATGCAACATCTTCCTGTGGCTGCTGAGGAATACCATGCATGCTACTTGAAGATTGATAGGGGACACATGCTAGAAGAGCAAATGAGCACAGAGGACAGTGAGCAAAATGTACACACATGTACTTAAAAACCACACACACTGAGAAAAGTTCTGACTAAGAGGGTATATAGGTCTTCAGGAAAAAGAATGGCAAGGAGTTTCTCTAAAGCTAAGCTTCCAGGGAGCTCAAGCAACTCTAATACCAGAATTATTATGAACATACTTCAACACTCCCAGTAGCATTCAAACACTGTTTATAACACAGTGACAAGACTTCAATGTGTCACATGCTTCATTTTTGTTTCCCTGTTACCTTGCTGCAGTTGAACTGGTAGGCAAGTATTTAAAGTAATGAAATGCCTAATAATGAGAAAACTGAGTAGAGTGATTCTCTTAACAGTCCTCCATATTTTTTTATGGATACATTCAGTTTTTATTTGCTTTCATTCTAAACCTGAACTGTTTTCCTTGCTATTCCACATCCAATTTTGAAGGCAGATTTCAAATTTTCTTCTCTTCATTGGGATGTGCAGACATTTTAGAAACATAAATAGAAGCCAATCAAAACTGAACGTCACCCACATTTTGTAAAAAAGCAGAAATGAATACACAATTTATGCATTCTTCTGTACATTAATAAAACAAGTTTCCATAAATTAGAAAAAAATCCCAGTGTCTAGACAGGGCTCAAAGTTTAAAATTCATCACAAGAATTTTATTCTAGGAGAAGCACAAAAGATGCAGTAGCGATTCCAAACTCATCATCCCAAGTTAAGAAACAGGTCTTACAACCAAATATACAAGGTTAGTCAGACTCACCTTCCCTCATTGATTTTTGCTTTGTCGCCTTGGCAAGAGAAGTTCTCAATGTAACCTAGACTGCAGTTAATTCGTGCCCAGTCGGGCTGGCACACAGCGAGGAAGTGAGGACGCAGTCTACCTATGGAGTACTTGGCAATGTCTGTCAACGACTGGCTAGCAGCTGCTCCAAAAATGAAGGTCCCAATGGCTTTGTAAATAGTGGCTACGTAGTTATTTCTGACAAATGAATTTGAGTGCAAATGATTATAAAAGACAGAGAGGGTCTCTCCTAGGATTATCTGAAAGAGAAATAAGGACAACAGTTAAAGAAAGATAATTGCTTAAAAAGAAAGATATTACTCTATTATTGCTAATACTCAGACATGTAGTTTCAGAAATTAGGTTTTTTTATAAACGTTAAGTTGCAAATTTACATTTTCCAAGAGTCAGCAGTAACCATGCCCAAACTTTAAACACTCATATAGAAGAAAAAAAAAAAAAAACTTTTTACCTTACCCTGCTTCATGTTGAACTTATTATTGATTTGCAGAATATTTATTAAAACAAAGCCTTCTCAGAGTAACATTTATACATATTACTTAGGCATGGCCCTAATTAAAAACATTTTCTCTAGTATTATGTTTTATTCTACATTGAATCTTCTTCAGCTAAACTTCTGCTGAGCAGAATTTTTCTATTTCATCATAAAGTTGTTAGGTTTTTTGTGAAGCCAGAGACTACTCTGAAGGGTCTAGACTTCATTTCTGGATGTGAAAGGCCAGTTATTTAAACAAAGAAATTTCCTGTTCCTCAGGAAAATTAAATCTTTACAGGA